AGGCCATATAATGCCTTCCTTAATCGATAAACTTTCTCTTTTTCCCCTTTTTTTATAAATCCCTCAGGCTGTTGTACAAACACTTCTTCCTTAAGTACCCCGTGAAGAAAATCACTCTTCACATCAAGTTGAAAAACCTCCCAACTGAATTGGGCAGCCGTGGCCAGTATCACACGAATAGTATCAAGTCTTGCCATTGGAGCAAAGACTTCAGTGTAATCAATTCCATGACGTTGTGCATACCCTTTTGCTACTAGCCTTGCTTTGTATTTCTCCACTTGCCCATCTACATTCAGTTTTATTTTAAACACCTACTTAACTCCAATAGGTTTGACTCCCTTAGGCAACACAGTAAGTTCCCAAGTTTGATTCTTCTTTATAGCTTCAATTTATTTTGACATTGTTTCTCTCCAATGTTTGCTTGCCATAGCTTCTTCAAATGAAACTGGATCATTTTCAGTCATCATCATCATTGCATTTAAATTTTCTTCTTTAGAAAATCCTTCACCAGTTTCATAATCTGCCATCCATCATAGTGCTCTTCTTTCTCGTTCACCCCTCCCTTGAGGTGATTCTATTGGGCTGCTACCCAAATTGTGTGAACCTGTTTCACCATTTTCTTCTTCATTTTCATCAATTTCTTCCTCATTCTTGTTGTCTTCCCCTTCACTGTCATCTTTATCTTCCATTTTAATACACCTTGCTGGATTTCTCTCACTGTTCTACCCTAGTCCCAATTTTCTTCTTCTTCAAAAATAACATCTTTGCTGACAATAATGTTCTTTGAGATTGGATCATATAACCTCCATGCCTTGGACTCATCACTAACTCCTAGGAAGACACATTTTCTACTCTTATCATCTAGCTTAGTTCTCCTTTTATTTGGTACATGAACATGTGCTGCACATCCAAAAATGCAAAAATACTCCACCACGGGTTTCACACCGCTCCAAGCCTCTTTTGGAGTCTTGTTTTCAACTGTTACTGTCGGACATCGATTCTGAACATGCACACACCATTTCACAGCCTCGGGCCAAAAAACTTTAGGAAATTGCTTCTCATTTAACATGGAGCAGACAACATTCATAATCGTCCTATTCTTCCTTTCAGCCACTCTGTTTTGCTGAGGAGTATAGGATGTAGTCAACTGTTTGCTGATGCCATGTGATTGACAAAATTATTCAAATTCATTTGAGGTGAACTCACCACCTCTATCTATCCTTAAACAAGTTATGTATGCTCCTATCTCTTTTTCAACACGAGTCTTGAACTTCTTAAATGTTGCAAATGCTTATTATTTCTCATGTAAGAAATATACCCAAGTTTTACGAGTAAAATTATCAATAAAACTTAAGATGTACCTCTTGTCACTGTTCGAAGCTGGCTGTATGGGACCATATATATCTGAATGCACCAGTTGAAGTTGCTTTGATGCTCTCCATAAGTTCTTGCTTGGGATAGGTTTTCTATGTTGCTTTCCGGTTAAACACGTGGTGCATATCTTTTGTGGATACTTCAAGGACGGGTAACCAATCACCATCTTTTTACAAGCAAGTGTTCTTAGTGCCTTGTGATTCAAGTGCCCAAAGCGATAGTGCCATAAGTGAGCTTCTTTTTCTAAGGCAGTTTCATCTTGTAAACACAAAATTTCATTTGGTTCCATAGAAGCTAACACATAAAACATTCTATTCTCACTCATATCAGTTTTCATAATCAGTCCCCTCCTCGGATGAAACACTTTGCAAGTGCCATCTAGAATCAGAATGGCTAATCCTTTTTCTTGTAGTTGTCCTATATGCTTAACAAATTGTTTTTGAGTTTAGGAATATAATAAACATCAGATAATACCTGAGTTATTCCCTTCACTTGCATCCTGACACTTTCTTTTGCTGCCACTGTCATTTGCATGCCATTTCCAAGCTTCACTGTCATGCAATGTTCTTCCTCCAAATTCAGAAACCATGCTTTATTCCCTATCATATGATTACTACAGCCTAAGTCAAAATACCATCTTTCTTCTACCCATGTTTGGTGTGGCTCTTCATAGGACATCAACACAAGCTCCTCTTCTTCTTCCAACTCAGCATAGTTGGCTTTCTTTTCCAGTCAGGGCACTCGTGCTGAAAGTGTCCAAGCTTATGACACTTGAAACACTCAATAATGGCTTTATTTACAGGTTGTCTCCCTCTACCTCTGCCACGTCCTCCTCTAAATGCACCATGACCCCTACCTTTGTTGGGCCTGTTTTTTTGAGTTACTTTCAACACATGTTCCTCTTCTTGGTATCCTTGCATCCTTTGTTCATGTACAAGTAGACTCCCATGCAACTCATCAATACTTAGAGCACTTAGATCATTGGATTCCTTTATTGCACAAACAACATAATTGAACTTGGTTGTCAATGATCGCAGTATCTTACTAACCAATGTACTTTGCTCCATTGTCTCACAATTGGACTTCATTTTATTCACCACCATCAAGGTTCGTCCCAAGAAGCTGTCTACTTTTTCACCTTCCTTCATAGTAAGCAACTTGAACTCCCTTCGCAATGCTTGAATTTGTGCCCTTTTTACTTTCATGGATCCTTGATACTTTTGTTTCATTAAATTCCAAATTGCTCTCGACGTCCCTTTGTCAAGAATTGTTTCCAAGATTTCCCTATCAATCGCCTTGAACAAGAAGTTCTTAACCTTCATATCTTTGAGTTTGGCCTCCTCCACAACTTTCTTCTGCACCTCGCTTGCTGATCCTAACCCAAGTGTTGGTGTAGGAATGCCTTTGTCCACTAGGCTCCACAGCTCCTTGCTCCTGAGAAAGTTCTCCATCGTCATTGACCAAAAGTCATAATGACCATCAAACTTGGGAATGGCTAGTTGCACAAATTTTTCGGAGGCTGACATTGTTCCTCCTTTTTGTTGAAACGTCACTTTCTCACTGTGTTTGACTCACGCTCTCTCTCACTAGGTTATCATGCCCCTTTTGGAGCTCTGATACCAATTGTTGAAACTCTATAACTGATAGATAGTAGAGGAAAAACTTTTCTAATATTGATTTCTGAAAATAGGGCTACTTATATCCTTTTTACAAAATAGATCACATTTACATCCCTACGATGTGATCCCTAAAATACTGGAACTGAATACTTATTTTCCTATAAATTAGAACTTAACAATAGCAACAAAAAACAAAATCTAAAACAGAAAGATAGAAAATATCTCCAACATTCTGATAATCAAATCACATTTCTCTATGGTATTACTTAACAAATCAAAATGGATAAAAAAAATTATTCGGCACTCACTACAAAAAAGAAATATGGACATGTTTTGCGTTAAAGAAAGAAAAAACAAATCCCTTGAAACATGCAAAGTCTAAAAAAAAAGTCGTTTTTCACTGACACATGCAACAATTCCTTCCAATTGGTATCTTAAAGATGATAATTAGTTTCCTTGATCAAATAAGAAGTGACAATTTGGTAAAACACATTTAATGTCCACATTTAATACACCAATGGACACTTCTCTCCACAAAGAACAAAGACAAGGATAGATGAAACAAGTCTATGAGAGATGCTCAAGGATTTGTTATGATCATCTTCATGAAGCACCTATTTAAAAAAACTTGAAAAAGATTCAAAAAAGAAAGAGAAAACATAAATTGCAAAAAAATCATATTCATTATTTGTGTAAAAAGCTTTGTACTCGAATTGGTTATATCTAGAGTTGTCAAAACGGGCTATCCGGCCCGGCCCGGCCCGGCCCACCACAGGTTGACCATTTGGTGGGCCAACCCAACCCGGCTCATTTATCAGTGAGCTCAAAAAAATCAAACCCGGCCCGGCCCACCACGGGTTGGTGGGTTAAACGGGTTGGCTCACCTTTAAAAAAAATTCATTTTTTTTCTTAATATACAACTAAAGCCCAAAAATTTAAACTTATTTTAAAAATCTGAGATTCTTAATTAAGACATTCATAAATGAATCATTCATCCCAAATATTAAATGATAATTTTAAATACAATTAAGTCAAATCTAAATAATCTCAAATAGATAAATATAATCCAAAATCATCTTAAACTTTAAATATAATCCAAAATCATCTTAAACTTCAAATACAATCCAAAATCATAAAAATTACAAATCACAATCCAATATTAAATCATTATTGTCTCATGTTGGGTTGCACTATGACCCAATAATTATTGTATTTTTTTATAAAAAAAAATTAATCACGGGTTGGTGGGCCAGCCCGGCTCATCATGGGTTCAACCCGGGTGAGCCGGGTTGTTAGTGAGCCGGGTTCAAATTTGACCCATATTAAAATTTTCAAATTTCTTTTAACCCAACCCGGCTCGAACCCTTGGTGGGCCGGGTTGGCTCACCAGGACAAGCCCATTTTGACAGCTCTAGTTATATCATGTCTTGATAATAAGACAAAATAACAGTGATTTCTTAGCTATAACTTTGTATTATTACTTTGAGCTTGAAGAGACTTAACTTCAAAATATTACTTGATTATTAAAGCATAGAGAAGTTGTGTGTTTAAAGAATACTTGAGTAATTGTTTAAAAAGACAAGTCAAAGAATATTTAGGTTGATGCAAAAGTAACTTATGAAAGAATACTTATATCTTTGTAAAAAATAGTGAAACTTAATCGAATTGATCAAGAACTAATCTGGTATTAATAGTTGAGACAAACTAATATAAAAATATTGTGTTTTTTTTTTTTAATTCTTTGTCTACTACACTCATAAAGTCTTATATAATACTTCACTATTTAAAAAAAAATGTTATCACTATTTCAAAAGAAAATGTTTATTTTATTGTTATTATTGAACTATTACATGTGAACTAAAGATATATCATCATCGTATCTTAAAAATAAAGCAAATATTAAGTACTAATGATTATGTTACTTTTGAAATAATAATTTCTTTTTCATTTTGTTCATTAAAATTCATAAATATACATTAAAAATCCCAAAAACAGGTTGCTAACTTTTTATGCAGTGTGGCATGATAATAGTTAAGCCAAAATTGAAAAGCAATCCAAACTCCAACTAGAAGAACTACTCTCCAATCACTCAAAGAAAATGGGTGGCACTGAGATGAAGAAAAACGCAGATCTTATCTTCATTCCCTCACCAGGGATTGGCCACTTAACTTCATCCCTGGAATTTGCACAGCTTCTAATCAACCGTGACAGCCATCTTTCCATCACAATCCTCTGCATCAAGTTCCATTTTACTCCCTTTGCAGAATCTTACATCAGATCAGTTTTAGCCTCACAACCCAAAATTAAACTCATTGATCTCCCTGAAGTGGAACCACCTTCTCAGGAGCTAGCGCTCAAGTCTATTGAACACTACATATGTACCTTCATGGAGAGCCTCAAGCCCCATGTCATGGCCACCATGCAAAACATTTTATCATCTTATCCACACCCAGTTGTTGGGTTGGTCCTAGATTTCTTTTGTTTGTCCATGGTTGATGTGGGAAACGAACTGGGTATCCCCTCTTACATGTTCATGACTTCAAATGTTGCATTTACAGCTTTCATGCTTTCCCTTCTCAAACGTCAAATAGAGGACGTGTTCAGTGATTCTGATCCTGAGTTGTTGATTCCGGGTTTCCCAGATCCAGTTCCTCCAAGTGTTTTGCCTGGTCCTGCTTTTAATAAAGATGGTGGATATGTTGCCTTTTACAAGCTTGCTCAGAGGTTCATGGACACCAAAGGTATTATTGTTAATTCTTTTTATGAGATGGAGAAGTATGCTATCGGTGCATTATCTGATGGCCAAACGCCTCCTATCTATGCTGTTGGGCCTTTGATTGATCTTAAGGGTCGGCCAAACCCAAATTTGGATCAGGCCCAGCATGACAAAGTATTGAAGTGGCTAGATGAGCAGCCACCTTCATCTGTGGTCTTTCTTTGTTTTGGGAGCATGGGAAGCTTTGATCCATCTCAAACAAGAGAAATAGCAATAGCACTTAAGCGCAGTGGAGTTAGGTTCCTGTGGGCAATGGGTTCTCCGCCAACCAGAGACAATGCAGACAGAACCTTAACAGAAGGGTTCTTAGAATGGATGGAGGGTAGGGGAATGATATGTGGATGGGCACCCCAAGTGGAGGTTTTGGCTCACAAAGCCATTGGGGGGTTTGTGTCTCATTGTGGGTGGAACTCTATTTTGGAAAGCTTATGGTTTGGGGTGCCAATATTGACATGGCCTATCTATGCAGAACAACAGCTGAATGCTTTTAGGATGGTGAGAGAATTTGGATTAGCAGTGGAGCTGAGACTAGACTATAGAAAGGGTAGTGATCTTGTAATGGCAGAGGACATAGAGAAAGGACTGAAACAATTGATGGACAAGGATAATATGGTACACAAGAAGGTGAAAGAGATGCAAGAGAAGGCCAGGAAAGCTGTCCTTACTGGTGGGTCTTCTTTCATTTCTGTTGGAGAATTAATTGATAATGTAATAGGTAGAAACTAATGCCATAGTTGTATTACATAGATGGAGTTGCTCCTTTCTCCAAATGTAAGATGTTATTTCCAGAAACATGTGTGTCATTCCACTGAGAAGAAATGTAGACCGAATTGAAGATGAAAATTGAAATTGTTCAGTTCGTGTATGACAAATTTACTTCAGCAACTGCGATATTCCTCCTTTCTGTTCTGCTTTTTCACTGGATGGTTTATACCAAACTGTTAATCACATCTTAACTTAAATGGAATAGATTAACCTCTTATCAGTTCGAAAATTGTGACTGCAAAAGTTTATTGAACCTTTTAAATTTAAGTACAGTAACTTGGATTTCAGTTAAAAGTAAAACTATGTGAAGGTTTTGTTTTTTTTCTTTTTTAGAGATGGGTGGATTGGATAGTGTCAAGCAAGATGTACCAGCTTGTGCGTAAATATTAGGGAGAATGAATGTTGGACTTATATCGAAGAAAAAAGACAAGAATCTCATGCTCGTGCAGAGTTTGATTTTGGAATCTTAATTTGCATCTTGTAGACTAACCGTAAAAATTGCGAGCTTCAACTTGTCAAAGCTTTCGCTTTTTGCTGTGTACAGAAGATAGCAACTTTGGTAGACAGACCAAATATATTGTATTCATGGTGCATTAGCATTGAACCAAAAAAAATATTTATCAAACTAACCACACCAAAAGATATTAAGAATTGAATTACATTTCAGGTTATCAAATTGTGAAATACATTAATACCACTTAGCTTCACAACAAAGGAATGACCTACTCATATCCAGACCTTGATACTGCCCTTACCTTCTAGACCTTTTCTCTTCTCTCGTGTCAAAGTCATATCTTGCTTTTGACTCAGTTCGATCTCTATCATTTCTATGTGATCTGTTATCTTGCTTCCTATCATAATCTTCTCTTGACCTTGGTGCAGATTCATCTTCAGTGTGCTTTCGTGATCTCCTGTCTTCCCTATTACTATGGGGTTCTCTTGACTTCCTTACAAAATCATCATCATCCTTCTTACGGGATCTTTTATCTTCCCTTGGATCAGAATCTCGCGACTTGGGTTCAAACTCAACACCATCTGGCTTTATTGACCTCTTGTCTTCCCTTCCGCGATGCTCTTTTGGGTCAAGCTCCGTACCTGCGTAGTCATCCCTTAATCTTTTTTCTTCTCTCCTATATCGATCTTCACTCAACTTACGTTCAAATTCATCATCTTCATGCCTTCTTGATCTCTTTTCTTCTCTTCTGTTATTTTCTCTTCCCTCAAATTTATCATAATCATCGTGCAATCGCATTGTCTTCTCTCTTCTATCACTTCTCTTTGGTTGGTGGTGTAATTCAATATCATTGTCACGGGCTCTAAATCGTGAATCTCTGTCTCTAGTTTCTGGAATATGAGTTGATTCATTGTTACCATATCTTCCCTCTTTCTTGGGACCCTCAAATTTGTCGTGACCCCATTTTGGATTGTCTTCAGCACGACCCCAACCTGTGTTTGCAGCTCTCTGAATAAAGGCAACAAAGACAGTCAGAACATATGAAAAGGTAGCCGCATATATTATCTGCATCTAAGGAGATTTTATTCCAAAATAAAGCACATTTTATAAAAAACACAACTTCAAAAGTTTAACTATATATATGCAAAGCAAAAATGAGAAGTTATACAAAGCAGAGAACCTGGATGAAAAAGAAGCAGCAAACAATTATGGGTAAATTTCACTCCTTTTCCATCAGATGTCTAAATTACAATTTCCTCCCTTTAATTTTAATAATTACATTTCTCTTGCATAAGAAATTAATATATACTATACTTTAGTAACATCTAAACGGTTGTGAACAACTATAAATGAGCCTCTCAAGTACATTTTTTATTCTACAACTTCCAACATCACCGACAACTAATTTTAAATGCAATATTATTAATCTTGGGACTTACTAAGGTTGTGTTAGGATAGAGAATTTTTAAATTCTAAAAAATTTTAAAATTTTAGAATTTCAATTGCTTCAATTGAAATTCTGACATTATAAAATTTCTTGTTTGGGTGAAGAAATTAAATTCCTTCATTTATAAAATCATGTGAATAGCAATTAAATTTCTACATTCCTAAAATAACCAACGTTTAAATTTTATATTTAAATAAAATAATTATATTTCTTTTATTTATAAAATCTTTAATTCAAAATAAAATGATTCATTTTTTATTTATAATTTCTATTATGTACTACTTTTGTTCCTATAAATAAAACTCAATTACCTAATTCACTAAGATTGAGAAAAGTAGTTAATTTAGTTGATGACAATAAATTTGTCCAATTTTTTTTCCTAAAATACCCTTATACTACTTTTCTTTCCTAATTAATACCCATATATTTTTTAACTAATAAGAGTGCATGTTATATACTATTCATCTCTCTTAATAAATACTTATTTTTCTCCTAACCAATAAGAGTTTATAACTAATGCATTTTACCAAATTAAAAGAACATACTTTAATCAAGAGTATTTTAGTTTAAAAATAATTAATACATAAATTACTATGAATTGGATCTTATATAAAGGAACAAGCAATTGTTCTATGTGGGATTTTATAAATAGGAACGGAGGTAGTATTATCTAAATAAACTAGTTATTTTCATTTATTTAATATAAAAATGAATCTTAACATTAATTGGTAACTATTTTTACTAATATGAATGCCCCTTTTAACAATTAACACTTGTTAGAACAAGTCTTACTGTTGATCTTGAGGCTTTACAAAATAAACTGGACATTTTAAATAAAGTTCTAATATTGATACTAAGAATGTTTAAAATGTCGTTTTATTTATAAATGTCTCAAAACTGATAACAAGATAATAGATAGTTGTAAAAAAATATAATAAAAAATTATGTAATTTAAACATTTCTTATATAAAAATATTCCTTTCAAATAATTAACCTAAAATTAAAATTTAATATTAAAGGAAAATCACTCCAAATCTCATGCTCATCCTCAATTTAATCCTTTTTAATCTATTATTTTACAAGATTAGCATGTTATCATGATGTAACTATTTTTTTAAAATAAAAACCCCAAAAATTACCTTTCCCAATTTTCAAAAATCAAAACCCAAAAGAAAAAGTAAAAAAGAAACTAATAAATCTTGAATGAAATGAGTAATAATTATTATATCAATGTAGTAACCAAAAGTAATTGTTTCACCCCACCCATGTCTACATGGATAAAATAACCCTTCACAAAAGACAGAAACATAATTGTCTCAGTTGCAAGTTGCAACTGCCAAAATAATGTCAATGTCCCTCGTGCAACTTATGATAAAGAAACTTAGAAATAGTGTACCAAAATGACGTACGGACCAAAACCCAAGCGGGATTATAGAATGATGAGGGAAAGACTAATAAAACAACGGGGTATGAGTAGTAAAGATTAGGCTGGGGAGACATTGCATTAACGTATATCTGGTAAGTTATAATAAGTTAGATCAATCTTATAGATCAGTTAGCAATTATTTGTTTTAGTTTAAGATAAAAATCCTCATGTCTCCAAGGCCATATATATTGATCAATAGCCAAGGAAGGATAGCAAGTTGGCCTATCAATTGCACTTTGCAAATATTCAACACCAACTCCAATAACCATGCTCGTTCTAATAGTTTACCCTCTAAGCCACACCCTCTCATCCTACAATGCAACGACCACTTAGCTAGATTAGGGGCCGCTGATACCATCTCTTTTTCATTCCTAACGCAAAATCTAACTAGCCTTCTAATAGGAAAGCTGATAGAGAGATTATCTCCTGACAATTAGAAATATTCAAATGAGACTATACATGTTGCCCATGCATAAGGAAGCAAATTTCTTTATTTTCAAGAAATATAGTCACAATTAAATATACAACGTTCTCTAATAATGTGGCTCCAAATAAGTTACCTTTAGCAAATTTTCATTAAATTCAAATCCAAGTTTGCCTAACAGTATATCCTAATCACAGTTTTTAAACTCAGACTGTACTACTTGATGCAACACCCACGGAAAAGCCTACATAAACCAAACAAAACTACTAACTTATAATTATAAAATATTCAACCTTTTTATTATTCTAGAGATGCCCAATGATAGAAAATATCACGCATCTTCAAAGAATTAAGACCAATTAATTATTGAATACTACTTCTAAAAATAACCATATTTAATTCAAATTCAAAAAAAAAACAGAGAAAACATGATTTTATCGAGAATCACATTAATTTAGATGCAGATCCAATATTTGATACATACATATATATATATATATATATATATATATATATATATATATATATATATATATATATATATATATATATATATATATATATATATATATATATATATATATATATATATATATATATATAGGATCATACAACCAAAATATTTATCAAGTCACCTAAAGACAAACGTTTTTAAAGACAACTAATATCGTCCATGATAACATATTACCATCAACTTCATTGCATGATTGCATCCCTTTACGTGAATCCAATCATACCTTCCTTAATTAATGACCAGACCAACTGATATCCTTAAAACGTTGTTTTCAATGCTTATTAATCATATTCCTAAGGCAATGCAGTTTTGGATGGGATTGACTTTCCCATAGTGTCAAGCTCAACCAAAATTCGGATGACTTTACAAGGCAACATCAGAGTATGCCAGACAGAAGAAGATATATTTAAGTGCAGCTGCTCAATGTCCCATCCAGACAGGCTAAGTACTGCTATAGAAACTGGTCTATTTGACTACATCTGGGTCCAACTCTATAACAACCCACCATTTGACTACATTTACATAGACCTATAAATACCATTAAACTAGAAATAAAGAAATTATAGTAATATAAATCAAATGGAAAACTAAATCGAATTAAAGAGCAGAAAATTATTAATTTCTAATTAAACAATGGCTTTTAATACCAGAAAATCAACCTATCAAGTGCCTATTATTAAAAAGAGCAGAAAACAACCCACTCACAAGACACAAAGTCAAGAATATTAGCATTATGTGTTGTTCTAGAAAAGGGCCTCCAGACAGAGACACTAGACACATTATCTCAACATCAGAGGGGAGTTCATCACTGATTCCCCTGTCAAAGCACCCCATGTGCTCAACTACAAACCCTGGACCAAGCCAATTTGAACACCATAAGTGGCACAAAGCTTTACAAGCTATAACTCAATAGTCAATGCCATTTCAGATACATACAACAACATTTAATCACAATTGCAAACACAAATCTTAAGGAGGCTTATCAATTTATGTACTTAGAGGTCATGGCTAGCTTAAGTCTGGCTGATTTGAGCAGAGTTGTTTACTAGAATTAGTGGCCAGAACTGCAAGTGTTCAGTGAGAGTGGTGTTGGAGATTCAGACACTCCAAGTGACAAAGTTGAGAGAAGAAGAGGCTAAGTAAGTCTTGATCGAGCAAACGAACTAACAAGACCATTTTTTCAGCAACAGAATTTCATTGAAAAAAGGAGACTAGAAAGTACAAAATAAGAGGATCTAAATATAAATGAACAACTTATTAGCCGAACTTTTATGTGACCAGTAACGTATCTACAACCTAAAAAAACAAACGCAGCTCTAGGTGTAATTCAGCACTACAACCAATATCAAAACTCTCCTCCAACGATATCAAAGTGTCAAAGACCAATAACTCTTTCCAATAAGCATTAATGCTCAATTAAACTTAACTATTTGAACACTTCAATTAAACTTTAACACAAACCATAATGCTCAATGTCATCTTACTTGCTCATCATGAGAAAACTTGCAGCTTGCTCCGCGAGTACATTGGCCCCTTTGGAAAGCACGACAAACCCCACGCGCCTCCCTCTTCTGCCGCTCCGTCTCTTCATCTTCCTCTTCCTTCTTCTTATACTTATCAACATGATCCACCCTAATAATCCTACCCAACACCTGCGCCCCATTCAGATTATCTGAGGCACCACAAAAACCAAACATCAGAACGCAATTCACCATCAGGTTCCCAAAAATTCATCAAAAACAAAACATAAAACAGAATCAGAGGACAGAGACGAACCCACAGCGAGATTCGTGCTTCGTTGATCCTCGTATGCAAGGAACGCAAAACCCTTGGATTTGCCGGTGCCCTTGTCCCTCACGAGATTGACATCGACAACCTCCCCGTACCTGAGCAATGAAAAATAGATAAAGAAAATGTTGAAGAAATAAAAGAGAGTTAGTGAATTGAAATGGAAGAGAAGTACTGAGCGAAAACGGCGAGGAGGTCACCCTCGGTGAGATCGAAGGGGATGCCGCCGACGAAGACGTAAGCGGAATCTTTGTACTTGGCGTGCCAGGAAGCATCTTCGCCGATGCCTAGTGAAGCTTCTTTGGAATTTATATTCTGAATGCGCTTCACTAGGGTTAGCGGGTTCATGTCTCTTCACGAACTGGAGATACCAGAGAAGAAAGGAAACGCCAAATGCTTAGGGCAAACAAGGTTCAACGCTTATTTCACATTTTAAGGTTCAAGGTTCAAACATTTTAGTTTTACTACCAGAAACGCCTTTATTAAAAAATAAATATTTATCCTCACTCCAATAACATTATATTATATTCCTGATTTAAATATTTTATATTTATTTTTTCTTAAAATTTAAAATAATTCATCTCATATCTAATCGTATAAATAATTTTATATTATTTATATAATTATTTTAATCATTATTCATTAGTAAAGTGCATATTAATTATATTATAATATTGTAAAATTTAAAGTATTTGTCAATTTTTTTAATTTTATGTCTTTATTACTTTCTATTTAATAAATACAATCAATCTTATCTTAATAAAAATATTTTTATATTTTATTTAGTAAAAATATTTAAAAATTATTAATGTTTATTAGATCAATTAATATTATATTTGATCATCAAATTTTAAAATCTTGATATTGAATTTTATCTTTACCAAAAAAAAAGATTAATTTTTAATAATATTTAAAAATTTAAAAGTAAAATTATTTTAAAAAAAATATGTATATCAAA